CGGAAATTTTGGGCCCCGGGTAGACCAAATCGGCTTGCTCGCCGGGGTCCAGAAATTTCCCGAAAATTTTGGGGCTGGGGCGCGCCGAGGCGTGCTGCACCGCATAGGGCATAGGGCTGGTTTGACCGTAGCGTTTTATAGAGTAGAGATAGATAGAAATAGATAACAGATAGATCTTTCCGAAAATAAAAGAAATATATATATATATATATATGTTAATTTATTGGTTATTATGTCTTGTTTTAGATGTCGAAATAATCCATGCTATTAAAGTCGATATATATATATATATATGAATAAATGAATGAATGAATTCGTTTCGTAGGTCATCGGGCTTATTTCAAATGCTTCCAAAAAAATGGTTCATTTGTGGTAGTTCGAAGTCCAAAATCTCATTCTGTGTCATGTCTTTTTTGAACTTGTGTGCATGTATCATTTGTCGCCTTGGGTTTTCTTCTCCTCCTTTCGCTTCCTGGCCAGCATCGGTTGCGCAATGCTACAACTTGATTGTGGCTTTAAGGCTTCCGGTTACTAAACCCTAAGGCTAAAGGTCGCCTCTTCTCAGCCTCCTCCCGTCTCTTCCTCTCCTCCAAGAAACACAGCTGCTCAAGCACCAAGCTGCCGTGTTTGGGCCACTTCCACGTAACTCGGATTCCGCCGTTCCACTCAAGTGTATTTCATGGCCTTTTGCTCCCTCTCCGCATCGTGCTGGAGAATATCCTGCACGAGCAAACGGGAAGTAAGGCATCCCAACCTGCCCATCTGCCAGCTTTGGAAAATGCGTCTCCTGCGCAGGATGGTGGAGCATGCAGAGCAGACCGATCAGCATCGAGAAGACCACCACATGGGTGAGGCTGAACCTCATGTAGCAATGCATTTGATGCCGGGTGCTTCGTAGTTTGCTGCAGCGTTCTTTGGACCGGCGATCCCCACCGCCCAAGCCCGGCACTCAAATTTCTTGTCTGGGAAAGGAAAGAGCCTCACGCGAGGCCCACAATGACCCGCAACAGCTGATCTTGACGAGCTTCGAAACTCTGGCAAGCCTGGCGACCACACCAGCAACTTTGCTTAGCTTCTTCGCCTGAACAAGAGAATTCCAGATCACAAAGCTGCTGTTGGCAGGAACACCACCATCGGCCTCCTGCTGGACAACATTCTTGTAGAGTTCACCCAACCTCAGTGACTTTGCTTTCGCTTTCGGGGCAACTGCCAGGCAATCTATGCAGCGGACAAGAACAAGCCAAATCCGCTGATGAAGAGGGCAACCGTTGTGAAAAACACGCTGTCAACAAGGCGTCCAAAATTTGCCTGCCATTGACTTCCGCAGAACACTGCCCCGGTCCAAAAGTGGAAACATGTCGGCTGGACTATCTGCCTTGCCATGGCTTTATAATACCGGAGTGCAGTAAGTGCAGCTCTCCGCGCTAAAGACAACGACTTTCTTTCCTTGCTGCCCCCTCACCTTCTAGGTACTTTCGGCTCTGCTGTCTGCAGTATGGCTCCTATGCAGGACAATGTTCTGCCGCTGCCAAACCTACCAGCATTGAGTAACTAAGCCAAGCAATCCTGCATCCTGCATGCGAGTGACACCGGCGTAAAGACGGGATGGGAAAGGCTTCTGCGTCAAGCATGCTGGTTGGCTGACCCGCGCTGAACAGCAAGGTGATATTTTACATGGAAACTGGCACATGAAACCAAAGACTTTTACGAGGCCGCTAAGGCTCAACTGGGTGAACACCACTCAACGCGCTGTGCGTCTCCAGCATGCTCTGTGCGGGGTACGGCTGCGTCGTGCTATCAGACTTCGTGACGTTGGGCACGGCAGCCTTGACGACTTCGACCTCATCTCCACGCTTGATGAGCATATCACCCGACCGGAGGAGCTCCACAGAGGTGCTCGCAGGAGGAGTTGTCAGAGTCGCTGTCGCCACGTTCGCCTCCTTGGCTGCTTCGACTTTTGCCACCTCTGCCTCCTTCAGCGCCTTGCTGAGGTTGCAGGGAGCTGCGGGAGCTGCAGGCTTGGCGCTCAAGCGATTCTCCAGGGCGCCAACAATGGTCTGTATGACTGCTTCCGTGCTGTTTTCTCCGCTCTTCGGAGTGAAAGGAAGGCCACCTGACTTGTTAAGCACACCAGCCTCGCCTAGCTTATCCAAGATCTCCATGGATGCTGCGGTGCTATTGATGTCATCTGCCTTGGCTGATTTGGACGGTTGTGTCGTCGATGCAGCTGCAATGCTGCTGGAGACGATGCTCGCACTTGTTTCTGTTGTCGACGTTTTTGTGTTTGTTGTCGTCGTGCTGGTACCAGTGGACGTCGACGTCGTGCTGGTAGTTGTGGCGGTGGTCGTAGTGGTAGTCACTGTGACAGTGGTGGTGGTAGGGGAGTCTGTGGTGGCACTTTCCGCCATTGGAGCCAGAGCGCTGCCCAGGGAGTCAGAGGTCCCGTTTGATGCATTGCTGAAGGGAAGCCCAGCCAATCCGCTGACATTTCCAGTCGCAAACACTGGTGCATCACTTATCGCAGGTGTCGTGGTGACAGTTGTGGTCGTTGAGGTTGTGGTTCCAGTTGTGGTCGTGTCCGTGGTTGTAACGGTTGTCGTTGTCTTGGTTGTAGTGACAGTCGTGGTCGTATCCGTTTTGGTCAAGGTCGTTGTAGTCGAGGTGCCCGTGATGGTGGTTGTTGTCACGGTAGTGGTTTCGGTCGCAGTGGCAGTCGTTGTCGTTGTCAATGTCGTTGTGGTTGTTGTCTCTGTCTGTGTAATTGTGGTGGAGGTCGTTGTAATCGATGTTGTTGTCGTAGTGGATGTCTCTGTTGCCGTGGATGTTGATGTAGTAGTTGAAGTCTTCGTTGTTGAGGTCGAAGTGGTCGGACATGGTGGTAGACTGCAGTCCTGCTGATCTCTGTCAACACCTCTGCAGTGAACTCCTGGCAACAGTCGCGGCTACATACTGCATAGACACGCAAGTTCAACTCAACACCCGCCTGGCGTTGAGGACGGACGATAGTTCCTCTGCCGCTGGCGTGTGCCCCCAGCTCCACACGTGGCTGTACAGACCGACCATTCCCTCCAGTCATCCCATGTACAAGGACTTCGACAAGTAGGATCGAAACCTTGGAACGTGATTTTGCAAGCTTGTGCCTAGACGAAGCACCAAACGGTGCCAACAAAGCATGCGCCATGTGCAGGTCTGGAGAACATATCTTCTCCTTCTTGGTCTGTTCCTTATGCGTCTCGAAGCATGGAAGTCCTCCGTTTTGAGCCTGCAGAGGACACACCGAATGTTGTCGATGTGAAAAGACACGGCAAAGGCTTAATGCTGACACTGCTTGATTGCGTTGACGTACCTCTACCATCTGGCGGGTGCTGACCGACACGGCTGAGGTTGAACATGGTGGGCATGATGACCAGTCCTGCAACATCTTGATATGTCAGCTCGACCCTGGTGCTCACGGCAGGTTGCAGTGCACCTATCATCTCGGAACTCTTGCGACCCAGAGTCCGACCAATCCGTGAAGTAGCAGTCAATGGGGCATTTCTGCACAGGGCCGACAATGAATGAAAAGGACAAGTGCGCAGCTCTCTTTCCAACCGCCGTCCTCCGTCTCCATGGAGTCACCCTCACAGTGCTGTCCTCCGCCTTTCTGTGGTGTGTTGTCGCGAATCCTGCGATAAGTACATTTGCTGGCGTTTGCAGACATCCCTCAGTTGCAGCGGTACCTCGTCCGGGTTCCTTGCTGATGAACGCTCTGATCGGGACAGGTGTCCGACCAATCCTTCGACAGACTCTGACACAGCCCACAGTTGCGGATCCAGCATTCGCCACAGCTCAAGTCCTGCCAGTCATCCCATTTGCAGTCCACGCACAGGTTGCTGCAATTGGCCTGCCCGGGTTCAATTTCGAAAGGAGCGGGTAATTCCAGAGAGTGCAAATGCGGAAGCCTCCTCAAACCACCCGAGGCAGTGATCATTGATCTGAGCTCCCATGTTCGTTCGCCGCATTCTTACTCGCGTGCCTTCACAGAAAGGATAGCAGTCTGTCCTCAGGCACGCGTCACGCAGCCGCACTTCGAGTGACATGCGAGGCACCGACTGGCAAGCCTTTCACAAAATTGTTCACAGCCTTCTCGGGCAGCGGCCATTCATTCCAATCTGTGTACACGCACGGGGGCAGCGTTGCGGTGGTCGTGGACGTCGTGGTCGTCGTGGTTTCAGTTGTACTCGTGAAGGTTGTGGTGGTGGATGTGTTTGTCGTCGTTGTGGGCAAGGTTGTTGAAGTCGTTGTGCTCGATGTACTTGGGACTTCTGGCGAGGTCGCTGTGCTTGCAGTATCGTTTACCGGGGTCTCGTACTTCTCCAGCATCCACGTAGTCGAGGCTTCTGAATCCTGGAACGGTAGCTCACCCGGCTTCTTGGTGATGTGGATAGGGAGAATGGACAGTTCTGTTGTCGTCATGCTTGTCGTCGCGACCTGCTGCATTACAGCGAACATTAGGAAAGCCTTTCTACTGACAGAGCCTTAAACAAGCACATGTGAAAGCCTCTTCTTTGCAGCAGAGGGCATCAAACCTGATCCGTACTGGAGTGAGCTTTCTGCCAATGCAAATGATATGAATGTGTACAGAATGATACTGCAAAAGCAGAGTGCGTCGAGAGGCGATGACGCTGCACTGTGTCCGCAGCTCAAAGAGGCTGCATCTGAGACTTGGACAACACATCCTCGATCGGACAAGTTGGAGATTAGGGCAGGGTCGGGAGGGGTGGAGCTGTGGGATGCGGCGGCCTCCGCGTGCTACTGACTGCTTTCTTGCTGACGCGTCTCCATCAGAGCTCGATATCCAAGCTGCAAAGGATCCTCGCCGCTGCGTCTCCTTGAACTTTGGCCAGGAAGCCCTCAGTGGGTCAAGGATGGCACAACAGTTTGTGACATTCTGTGACTACGACTGGCCAATGCCTTCCAAGGCTCTCCACTTGAGCAGTCGTGCAAAGCTTGCTTCGAACTGCTGCGCAGGCCAGCGATGCAGCTTCCAAAGTCAAGGCATTGCTCGAAGATCCAAAGGCACCTCCCTTTTGTAAGGTCATGACACTTGGCTCCCCAGATGTGCCATTCACTGCGAGCAGCCGATTGCTGGTCGTGGACATCTGTGTTGTGGAAAAGGGTTCTTCTGTTGTCGAGGTTCGCGTCGACGATGTTGTGGGCGAGGTCGTCGATGTTGAAGTTGAGGAAGAGGTGGCGACTGGAGTTGTGGAGTTGGTAGAGGCAGAGGAGGAAGAAGTGGTTGATGTGGTCGTACTCGTTGAGGTCAAAGTAGTTGATGTCACAGTGCTTGGTGTTGTAAGCTCCTCAGATGTCGTGGCCCTCGACGTGGTGGTCATGGATGTGGACTCACTTGTGCTGACAGCTGCCGTACTTGTATTGCTCACCAAGCTTGTGGTGGAGTATACCGGCTGAGTGGTCACGGAGGTCGTCGACCGACTTGTCGAGGACTTGGTCGTAGCTCGGAAAGAGGTGGAGGGCGATGTACTTGCCGCCTCTGCCTCTGTCGTCGTAGTGGAACTACTTTCCGTAGACGAGACTTCCTCTGAGCCCAGGTCTTCAGCTATTTCGTCCCCCTGCGAACTCGATGTCGTGCTCTCCTGGGTGGTCGTCGTTGACCGACTGGTGGTTGCTTGTGATGTCGTTGATTCTTCTTCGCCGAAGGCTTCTGTAGAGCTTGCTTCGGTTGTGGAAGCAGCCGTTGTACTCGTTTCGGCATCTGTCGTGGACTCTGTTGTCGTGGTTCGTCCTTTTGAAGTCGTCCCCTCCTCCTCAAATTCCTCGGTGGTGGTAGTGGAGCCAGGCGATGTGGTCTTGGAGCGCGATTCTCGGCTCGATGTAGACTCGTCCGTGACAGATGTGGTCTCCTCTTCCTCATAAACCTCCTCAGTAGTGGTGGTTCGCCTAGCCTTTGTTGTCGATGTGGACACATCGGATTCCTCAGCAGTGCTTGTTTGATCCTCTGTCGTTGAACGCTTGGATGTGGATGCATCGGATGTAGTCTCTTCATCATCCGTCTCCGTGGTTGTGGCACTAGAAGTAGTCTTTTCTTCTTCGGATGTAGTTGTAGTAGAGGGTGAGTCTGTTGTGGAAGTATTGGCTATCGCATGCGACCTGACGATGCCGTCCGAGGCAACAGAAGCCTCATGCAGTGCCGGCAAGAGTGCTGAGCAGCACCGTGCAGGCATGTCACTAAACCCTGCTTCAGAAGAAGGCCTCCATCAGAGCTGATCTGTCAGTGCGCATGATATGTCTCCTAAGCAGATCTATGCGCAAACGCTCCCCGTGATGGCATGCGCTGCATGGCAGCAGGGTCCTCGGCATCACCTTGCCCGAGGGGTTGACCTTGAAGCAAGGGTTGGCAGTGCGACAGCAATCGACCCATTTGGCCCACTTTCTGTCCCGCCTCTGCTTCTACGTCCGAGGAATCATGGAGAGTCAGTGCTGCAGCCAGGTTCAGGATGCAGAAGAGCACCCAGCATCTCATTGATATGAACCTTTGCTGCCCAACCCATGCCAACTCCTGAACAAGCGACAGCCATCACATGCGAGCTGAGGCACGTATGGAATGTGGCAGGCAACCGCAGTGTCCATGTCATGTCGGACACATCTCACAAGCCGAGCGCGGCTGCGCAATAAGGGATGTTCGTGCGGCAAGCTACTCTCGATGACCTCTTAGCTGGCGATCTACACATCCTGGCTCCAGCATTTTGCCTCTTTGGTCCCTACATCTCTCATCATTGGCATGCCGAGGCGAGTACATTGTGCGCACATATATACAAAATGATTCTCTACATGTTGCTACAAAACCAAGAAATACGGGGTACAAAGGTGCCTTCCAGCACTTTGGGATGGACACGTCTTCGAGGCCCGAGGTAGTTCCAAGCACTGGAACCGAATTCGCATCATTGCGGGGACAGGTCGTAAAATTGGGAACTGACCTTTTGCATGATCACGTACCCAGCAGAAAGTCAGAAGCAAGGAGGAAGCCTTGCTCTCAGTGTCTCGCGGCCGTGCCGAAGAGAAAGGCAGCCAGCAGGCGAGGTGGCATGATTTCAGTCAAGCGAAGCTTCGCGAGACGGTGCCATCGCTCAAGAAAAAATGCTTGACCTCGTCCCGGAACACTTAGAACAATCGGCGTGGAGTAAACACCGTCAAGAAATGCTTGCATGCTCGCTCCGAGTGCAGATTGAGTGCACCACTGCAGCGAGGCAAGCTTTGTGTCCTTGCTGGGTAGTCGACCGGGAGAGAAGTCATGTTTGACTTGCAGATCGCGGCACATATCTAGCCCTGCCAAACAGGCTTTGTCAGCCCCCAGCTTTCGCAAACTGCAGCATCTTCTCTCTTTGTGCAGCGCTCGGGCCTGAGTGGGAAGATGCTGTCGAGCAGATGAGCCATCATGACGCATCAAGTCAGGATAGGACCCCCTTGTCTCGTGGGCGAGTACGGCGACATGAGGCCAGCCCTGCAGAGGATGCAGAGACGGCGAAGTTTCGTCTGACAACGGGCTGAGGCTCGCTCCCGCTTCTCGGAGACACGGGTGCCTGCCCGATGCAACAACAAAGTCGTCTGCGGTCGGGCATGAGACCCAAAGGATGTGCAACCTCGATGGGTGCCGGCTGGCCAATGTTCTCCCTCACCTTTGAAGGGCACGAAAGCCCTGCACGATAAACAACAGCAGTCACCGAGCCTGAGAAGAGTCCAAGCAGTCTTGCTTGCGAGACAAGTGGAAGACATCACCCTCGAAGTCCTGTCAGACAAGTTTTCAGGCTCTCAACCGATTCAAGACCACGTTTCCGCCTTGTTGAACTCTTTCTCGCGATGGCGGCCTGCGGAGAGAAGCCACGTCGCTCTATGCTAGTAGGTGTGGAGCTCCGCCTACATCTGACCCCAGTGGTTGTTTGCATTTAACTTTGAGCCGCAGCGGTCGATGTAGACGCACGTCATCACGTGGGCCGGCAAGAGAAACAGGGCCGCGATGTATGGTACAAGTAATCTAGGGACCTCACAAAAAGAGCTTGAATCTCATGCCAGCGATGCACATCAGTGGCTAAGACAAAAAGGTTCGTGCAAAGACGCACATGGAATTGACGGCTGCAGTCGAACTCTCGCCCTCAGAGAAACCCTAAAATATGCTTTGCAACTTCCCGAAATCATGCTCTGCCGATACTTGGCGATCATCGAGGAAAGGCCAACAGCACGCAAACTCGACCGGCAAGCCCTCAGCACGATCCGAGGCAGGCCGAGGCAGGCACGTGAGACCTCTGCGTTGATCGCCATGCCTTCTTTGCTGTCCCAAACGCCCCGCTCCACCGCGAGTGCCTGGTGACCAACACAAACAGAGCCAAGGAAGGAAAATAGGGGGTGGAGGTGGGGCTTGTGCTGCCTGCTCCAGTTCAGGAGCCTTTTGGCCTCTGGGGGTCTTGTGCCCATGCAGCGTCGATGACATCTCCGCCTGCGGTCAGGGAGCCCTTCTTTGGGGACCTTCTGCATAACGTGACAGTGAGATGGGAGAAGGCCTCCTTCCTGTTTGCAGGGGTGGTGGCACCTGCTAGCCTGACAAGTCACTCATGTCAATGTGGCGTTGTCAGACGCTTGACAAGTTATCCAGGTTCGGCCTTCCTTCCTCCCGGCGTGCTGCCTCAATCTCACCGCGATGATCCAAGAAAGTGCAAGTAGATGTGCCAATGATGTCCTGCCACACAGGTGAGCAGTGGTTCGGCTTGATGAATCTCGGAAAGCAGTGCCTGGCGCTGCTGCGTCGGTGCATGACGGCGGCCCATTTCAGAACCGAACAGGTCGGAGTAGTTGCGCATTTCCTTGCCACTTCTCCTTCCAGTCCCCGAGTGCAGGTGAGCCACGAGCGCAATTTGAGGCACCACTCAACTCCAAGCCCCAAGTATGACAAGTATTCATGGTCGGCTGCTGTCGCCTTCCGGAGCGGGTTTCAGGGCTTGGGGCGACCAAGGCTGAGCCCAAGCTCAAAGTGTTCTGTTAGTTATCGGTACATATGAATATCGACACAGAATGTAAATACAAACACATACGCATGTGTATATATATATATAGAGAGAGAGAGACTGGTCCAGGTATACATGCCTACATATACCTTTTTTGGTGGTGTATATACATATACACACATACATCGACATCTGATATATACATATGTGTACAGGCATACGTACATACCTACATACATGCATATATGCACATATACACATATACACATAACCATAAAACTATACCTATACCCATGCCTATTCCTATACTTATACTTGTACAGGTATACACATATACTTGCCCTGGATGAAAATGGCCCTTACACGTATCTTGGATAAAGCAACACTGATTCTTGTCAAAAAATTATACTTATCCTCGGCATAAAACAACACTTCTCCTTCCATGAATACACCGAATCTCCTGCAAGAGCGACACTAGTCAAACAACAAGGCATTATGTCGGCAACATTTCTCAAACAAAACCGGTACGTATCCTCGTCAATCACGAACACCCAGACAGTTCCTTACAACTGTCCTTTCTACGAGTGCAACAGACCCTTGTATGCCCATAGTCGCTACTCTGTCATACCGACCACTGTCATTTTATCAGACCGATATGCTTTTCTCTATCGGACCTACGTTATTTCATGAGACCAGAAAGTGTTATTTCATCATGACAAAAAAAGTCATTTTATCATACCAGTGCCGAGAAGTGTAAGTTGTCATACCGATAAGTGTCATTCAATCACACCGACAGCTGCCATTTTATAGAGATCCAGTTGTCGTTTTAGCATAGGAAACGTAACCCAACGGGCCGAGGACATCTACCCTAAAGAGGCATGGCCAATCACAGTCAGAGGCAAGCCCTAGCCCATATACTATAATACATACATATACATATATATGCATACATCTAATGCCCAACCACCAGCATACCTGAGCCAAGCGTGCACAAGCAGCATCAATCAAAGACTTTGAGAGGACCCTGGATATTGGTTTAATGGATGTTCCACACTGGGGTAATCCATTTTCACATGGGCCCTGTGCGACACGCCTCATAAAATAGATTCTGGGAGTGTGCCACGTACAGCCATCCATTCTCATGCCAAACCCATCGCGAGGGGCGTTAGAGCAAATCCTGAAATGGACTAGGATAATGGCTTCCTAGGTGTACCCCCACCCAGCAAACCACTTCTCTATTGCTGGGGATTGCATATACATATACACTCTGGTATGCGCATGTACCCGCAACATAAATATATTATAGTAGATGCTCCCACTATGCTACACTGTGTGGCTAACCGAGCTGCCTGGGAGGATGTTCCTGTGCATAGCCCCCTGTTACCTGCACGATACAAAAGAGTCTCTGAGCAGCCTCGGAAGCTGAGCAGCTGAGCTCTCCAGTCTTCGCGCCTCCGGAGCCTCGGGCTGCGGCATGGTGTTGTACCCCGAAGCAGCCAGATTGGCTTGAAGCCTGGGCCGGGAGGGCACCATGGACGGGAGAAGCGGAAAGTCCCCTTCCTCGGGCTCTGAGTTGTCGGCCTTTGGCTGGCAGAGGAGCGCCTGCTAAGCGGGGCCAGGCTATGCGCATCGAAGCTTTGACGCTTGATGGTCTCCTGCCTGCCCGTGGCACCGCCGGGGACGGTTCCGTGCTGCTCATGGAGAGACGAATCGATGGCCAGGTAATCCGTCTGACAGTGTTGGAAATCTGAAAAAAATCTGAGACATAGCATGGGGTTCTAAGCTCCACAGTCAGAAAGCTGTGTCAGGCTGGCCCCATCGGCCACGAGATCTGATTTGCCCATTGTTCGATTCACCAGCCGCTCCTGCCGGACGGCAAAGCCGTGATGTCGCGGCAGAAAAATCTTAGATGCGTCCTTTTGGAACAGCTCCGAGGACATCTCCCGTATCTTTTTGTCCTACAGATTGCCCGAATCTCACTCGGCTGATCCGCCATCAATGTCTTCTCGGGCTGAAGCAGTCCTTGGCATCCAAATTGGCACGCTCCGCTGCATGGCTCTTGTGGCGGCAGCGCTCGTTCCGCACCTCGTCCAGGCATCGAGATCAGATCACTGGGATAACGAGCCCGTGAGCTGGGCCCATGGCGTCGTGCCACTTCAAATCCACGGAGGTCGACCAGAACTCCTGAGTCTCAAGGCCAGCGCGCAGTCGGGTGAATGGGCCCTCGAGGATCCAACCTTGGGCATGAACTGCGCATCCCGCTTTGTCCCGGGCCCGTTCACCGCACTGCAGCCAACCGTGTGTGCAGCGATGCTCTCCGAATTGCACGTATCGGGCACTGATCGTCGCACTGACCCTAAGCAAAAACTTATGTCGACGGACTGTGAAAGCTCCCGAACCTGCTTGCTGGCAACACTGCATGGTTGCCAGTCATCAAGGCATACTTCATCTCCTGCGGCCTGCAACGGAAACTCTGGTGACGATCACGTCTGGTGCAAAGTCGCATGGCCAGGAGCCCGCCCGGCTGCCTGGGCAAGTTCATGGCCTCCGGCACCCCGTTCTTCTGCACGTAGCTCTGCCGCAAGTTCTCGAGAAGCTCCTTGAAAGCGAGAAAGCGAAGGGCAAAGGACTGACGTAAAGGAAGCGACTTTGAGGTCCTTCTGCCTGCTGGCTGAATACACAGACTTGTCCGAGCCCTTTTCATCGAAGATGTTGGACGTCATGTGCACCAGCCGGCGCTCCCTGTTCCGCACTCCACATGCGTGAGTGCACAACCTCCTAGCTGTTAAGGGGGAGGCCTTGCAGTCAGCTCCGCCATGGCCGCTACACTCGCGTCCTACTCCGGCTACTTCTTTTTCGTGGATCTCGGTTGTGTCGATTGCGCCCCCTTTTCATGCTGTTGATTACAGTATTGCTCCGTTCGACAGCGTCTACATGTGTCCCCACTAATTACCTGTCCTTCTCCGCTCAAGATCCGCCTGCTGGCGACAACTGCAGACACAAGCATCAACAAGAAAGCGAGGGAATGCGACAGCGAGGGAGCAGCACAATGCATGGAGGACAACCCGAGCTGACGCCACGTTTTCGAACTTTGCGCTAGCCCCTCTGGTGTATCACCCAGCCTCTCTCAAGCGCAACGTGTCGCAGTTTTTGCGACAACCCAAGTGGAGTTTCGCCCCACAGTCTTTTCATAACTCTTGCTCTATTAGCTTTACGGAGATTTGATGGAGCCTGCAGAGTCTTGTGACGAAGGCCGCAGGTCACTGTCAACATGAACACCGTCTTCTGAGTTCTACCTTACCTTTTTCTACGAGTACCTCAATCCCCTCCTTGATCCTCCCAGCAATGTCCAGCATTTTGCGTGTGTTGTTGTTCATGGTGGGTCTGGCTGCCTGTCTACTCTGGACTCTGCACGCATCTGCACGCAGCTTGAAGGCCGCTTCAACGGCATCGGCCTCGCATCAGCACAGACAAAAGAGACCATGCAAGCACAGGTCCATCTGGAGAAGTGACATCCCTTCTGAGGTGCTAAGACTGCTAAGATCCTGGCAAGGGGACAAGTGGTGCAAGACCTCACCACTCATCTTCTCCTGCCACGGCTTTTGCTTGTGCTGCGTCGGCGCCGCTTTGACCTGCTGCTATCGCTGCTTCTCCGCCTGAGCAAGGCTCATGCCGTCTCTGAGCATCGCTGAACTTCAGCTCAGTGCGTCGGCCATTTCTGCCTTCGACGGCGGTCGCGGCTGCGATCTCGGCTGCGGCTTCGCTCTTTTCCACCACCTGCAAATCCGATCACCGAGGCCAAGCCCTGCTGATGCACTGCCGCCAGCCTCCACCTCCGCCCCTCGCTTGAGCTCGGGCGCGCTCACGCTCCAGGAAGAGGTCACGGCCTCGCTGCACGCACGGCTCAGTGGCCTTTAGATTTCAGCTGAGGCCCGGACTTGTGACTTCCAGATTCCGCTCTGTGGCCGTGGGCGGTGCACCACGACCTCTACCCTTCCCCTGCATGTATTGCGCCTCATGTGCGACAATGTGAGGGCGAAAGACGGCGAGAGGCTTGAGAGGCTTGAGGGACTTGCACGAGCGCGCACCTTGAGGAGCATCCCATCTATCACAACTTGTCCAGCGTTTATGGCTTCCAGCGCCCTGCAGGAGAAGGAGTGTGTCCTGTGCTCTCACTTCCGTGACAGCATTACCCTTCTAGCCTCTGTGCAGCTTCAGGCGTCGAGAAGCGAACCTGACAAGATGACAAAGGCTTCTGCGGCTGCAGACGTCTGCAAACAGCTCTGTTGCTGCCTTCGGGGGCTCCTCTTCCGGGTTTTGCCGATTGCCCATGTGAACCAGATCCACCTGCGTGACGCTGGGTTGCAGGCTTGCGCCAGCACATGTCTGCATCTTCTGTCTGGGTATGGCACCTGGCCAAACTGCTCCATGTGGCCTTTCAGTGCCTCGGCCGGGCTCAGCTGCAGCCAGGACCCAGAAGGCAGCTCTTGAGCCAAGTAGCAAGGCGGTTGATGCCCGGCACCACGCCCTCCGTAATCTGGATGCAGGTGCTCATGCCTGCTTAGGCACACCCTGGCGATCCACCAACGCTTGAGTGAGCTGCCTGCGAGGTCGTGGGAGGGCCCGCCAACTTCGCTTCGGTCGCCTAGCTGCAAACCTCGGCCGATTGCTCACTTCTCTTCTCTAGCCCATGCAGTTCAGCATGGCCTGGACGTTCAAAACTCCCATGTGGGGGGCTTTGCTACAAATGGATGAAACCCGCCATTTGCTGAAGCCACAGGCGGCAACCAAAAAGAGAGCTGCAGACGCCAAAGCAGCAGCGGCAGGCGACCTCTCTCGTGACATGGCCTACTCGCGGCCAGGCTATACACCATCTGCGCCGCTTTTGCCCCTGCATCTGATTGGGTGTGCAGACATTTCATACATCTTGTATGCTATGCGTTCAATACACTTCCCGACTTTGTGTCGGGCGGCGTTTGAGATGCAACGACTATAGTGCGAAAAACAGAAGCATGTGCCAAGAGAACGTAACAAGGTGTTACCAAAATTTGCATATGCTTCTGCTAGAGACTGCATGCAGTTGAAGCATCAACCGCATGCTATCTTAATTTGCAGCTAGACAAGACATTGCCCACAAACTTGACCACACACCAACGGACAGTTGGCGAGTCGGAAACGGAAAGAGCTAACAAAGCTGCGAACTCACCGAGCTTTCCGAGCTGGGGTGCCCGAAGTGCCCGAGTTCGAGTTCGCAGTTCCAAGCGTAAAATGGATGGAAACACGGCGGCACACTGTGCAGGGGGAATGTGAGCCGTGTCACAGTGCTCTCAGAGGATTGCACTTCCAGCCGAAGGGTCTGTACAGAGAGTGCCTCGCGAGAGATCTTGTCGTCATACGCTGAGAAGCAGAGAGCGGTAAGGCTGGCACGTCGCGGAGGGACTTTCGACAGCTGACGGCCAGCCACAAAACTAGACACTGCGACCTGGAAGCACGAGCAGCATGAGCAGCATGAGCAGCATGAGCATGAGGAAGAGCAAACGAGGGCCGGGGGGCGCCCGTCTGAACTCAGGCAGCCACATGTCCGGCCGTCAGCCTCTGGGCCTCTGGCCTCGCAAGTCTTCCGTCCTCCCTTTTTGCCTTCCTCTCTTCACTTCCAAGGTCCGCACAGGCAGGTTAGCCAACCGGCACAGAGGCAGAACACTGTATGTGCCTCAGATGTGCAGAGCAAAGCCGAATGGTCAGAGAAACCGACAAAAACCTCTGAGGCTGATGCTGCTGCGAAGCCGAGGAGACATGCATAACGGATATTCCAACAGCCTTCGGATGAAGTGACAGCTTCGTAACACGTCATCTCTTCAGTTTGCGAGATTCTAAGGATACCCATACCACGCCTGTCACATGCGCATGCCTCATAGCATGAGACCGAAGGCACAGTCCGCTTTGTGCGAAGCATGCCTGGTGGGAGACAACTCGAAGCGAAACATCTGCAGGCTTTGCACCCTGCCTCCAGACATCATGCCGCGTTTGAGGGCGCTAGCATGGACATGTGAACTGTGTAAAGGTTGAGGCCTCAGAGACATGCAAAAACCTTTGTGTGCTTTGCTTCTGCATTGCCTTGGGAGCGGGCGAAATCATCGCTCCAGTCTGAGAACCTGGGAGACATTGCGGTACAGAGGCACTAAGGTCGACAAAAGCATGTGCGGCTTGACGCCCGAAGCATGCCCTGATTAACCAAATCTTCAGATGTGTCATGAATGAAGAGAAGCACAGTTCGGGTCTCGTCCGTGGCGGCTCGTGGGCTCACCGAGCTCGTTGCGTTGGAAAGCTTCCGTGCAGGTCGCCTCAGGCGGCCCTGCAGGCGGCCTGGACTTGGGCACTGCTGCGTACTGCGGCATACTGCGGCATACTGCGGCATTGCACATGGGCATGCAGAGGAACAGCACCGGCACAGAGGGTCCAGCTGCACCAGACTTTCTGCCCTCTGCATCAAGCCAGCTGGCGACGATCCTGCCATACCTTCAGCCCGGATTTCAAGAGCGAAGCCAATGAGAAGTCTTTAGCCTGGCCTGGAGACTTTGAGGGACGGCAGCTCTGCGCACAGCAACTCGCGGGCTCTGGCCAGATCGGGCCCATCCAGGGCCTCAGACGAAGGTCCGGGAGCTGAGCCAGCAAACCGCAGCGCGTCCGCGCCGACGGCGCCCGCGCCAGCGTGCAGCGTTCGTGCCGGGCCCTGCCTGGAGAAGAAGACGTACAGCCGAATGGCCGTGGCGTGCATGGGCCTGGCCAGGCATGGCTCGCGCTGAGGTGCACCGAGCATAGAGCATGAGGCACAACAGAGGCCCTGTACAGGCATGCAGAGGTACAGACCATGAACGTCAGCAGCCCTTGTTCCTGGAAAGCTCGGCAAGCGCTAACTGGCCACTCAAACTGGAGCGACTCTTCGTTGGAAGTCCTGGACGATGGCTCGCGCCAGGGAGATCGCATCCTCTTTACAAAGCTGGGACCTGAACTTGGCGAAGCCCAGAGCCTAAACACTCGCTTCTCGTTTTGGGGGCCAGGCAATGCTGCAGCAACCACTGCACTCCCGAAGGAATCCTGGCAAATGGGCACGATCTCCTTTCTGAGCTCCTGCAGGACCACATTCGCATCCAAAAAGAAGGCTGGGCAAAGCTTTCGAAGCCTCGGCCAGCTTGTGACGATGAGCTGGTGTACCATGCTCTAGCAAATTCTGCAAGACCTGCCAACGGCCGCACACGCAAGCCCTCCCGCTCGACGGCCCCGTCTGACCCCCCGGAAGAGCACAGCACTTCTCATGGAGGTCGCCCAAGGCTGCAGCATAGTTGCCGTAGGGGTGGCGTGCAATCCCACTAACATCAGACAGGATGGCGTTCGCCACGCACTCCACCTCGGAGGCTCGGAGAGGCAGAGGAACGCAAGAAATCATGGGGAGCCAGAGCCTAGCCTGAGCTGTAGAACAGCGTTCTAGCAGCCTGACAGCCAAAAAGCGCAACGCAAAAGGCGGACTCTGAAGACCTTACCTCATAACAAATTGGAAAGCAAGTGCAAAGAGAAGAGAGTAAGGCATCGCCTCTGAATTATGCGGCAGCCGTATTTGTGGCGAGCAGCCTGGAACAAATTCATGGTCATGGCCCGGGCAAATCGAGCATCACGGCCCCCCTCTCAGAGGCACCGGCCAGTTCCACAAAACCGTTGCAAGCCATGATCTCGTCGATGATGAACTGACAGTCTGGAGGCCTCCGAGGCACAGATTCGCTCGCCCACAAAGCAACAATAACCCAGTCAGCTCCCGTAGTGATTGCAATAATTTAAGTTTCCGGTTGCCGGCCTGGACGAGGTGATGCACTTCTGAAGGACATGATTCGCATGAGGGCATCGCATGGCATCCAGCACATGCCCAGCGACTTCTGCCACAATAAGGCGCCGAAGATCCTCACCGGCTTGCTCCAGCGCAAGCTGAACGTCTCGGCAACCTTTAGAATCCTGCGACAACTCCCAGACGCGTCCAACCAGACTCGTCATGCCACTAGTCATGCCGCCAGTAATGCTGCCAGCAACGCCACCGGTCAAAACAATGTCTCTGCCACCACAGCATCCACCACTGCTAAGGTTTCCCAGCCCGCATTCTATCTTTCGCGCGCCGAGCAAACGCGGCAGAGTATCTTGCACGCGGTCCACTTCTTGCCGCACAGATCGCTCTGCACGAACAACCCCAGCGCTAAGATAGCTGGCCCAAGGTGGATCTTCGTTGGAATTTATCCTCTCGATCAACGCCCGGAGGGGAAAAGCCAAAGCCCTGGGCTTCGGTGGCTTCGCTGTGTGCCTTCCGCGACGCGTGCTCTGCATCATGCTGCGGCCACAGATTATGAACTACACTAGCCGCGCTTGGCTGTAGGGCCCAGAAGCTGCAAAACACCCAGGCTCCCAATACCAACATGGCTCCACATCGCTCTGCGAAGCAGGGGCGGAACTCGCTGTCTTTTCTCGGCTCCGGCACACAAAGGATCATGCTCTCGAACAGCCCTGAAGACGTGAAACTCTTGTAGTGTCACTTTGGACATATCCTCGCCCTGGCACACCTGCTAACTGCTACCATGTTCACTCGCCTCCGAGCCGCAAAACTTCGGCATCTTCCGGCGGAAGAATCTTACCCGGACACATCAAATCCGCAAAAGGTCCGGCATCGGGAGAGGTTGTTGTACCCTGGGCGCCGCCCCACCCAGCATCTACAATGATGCATCTCGAAAGAAGGCGACGTCGCACTTGCTGCTTCTTGTCTTCCCATAAAGCAAAAGCCTCTTAGCGCTTCTGTCATTGCTCCCTTTGCAGCTTTGGTACCATCCACGCTGGCTGGCCTCACGATCGGAAGGCCCTGGTCGTCACCTCTTCGCCACTTGCCTGAGGTCCAGGAAACCCTGCTGAGCCTTCTCTGCATCCTCATCCTTCAGATCCTGGGGGCCATCAAGACGAGCTCGCGCATGTGCCCCCGGAGTTTGACCGGCCTTTACTTGGCTCGTTTGCAGAGCAAATTCAGGCTGCAATGACGCCCCTCATGTCCACGTCTTGCAGGTCGTCTTTGCAGCACTGAAGCCCGTCTTTCCCGGATCATAGGCAGCCAGCCCGCCAGGGCTATGGGTTGTTGGTCGTTCAACGACGACACATTTGCAGAGCACGCCTCTTCCGGTGCCTTGCTGGAACTTGCTGGCTGGCTGCTTTCAGCTGGCTACTGATTGTCGTCAACGGTAGTCCGGCGTTTCTGCGCCCCCACCATGTACCCAGTTGAAGCGAGGACAGCGCCTCGATCGGGCATTGTACAGTCTTCGATGCCTGGATGATTCCAAGGACCAAGGACCGGGCTTGTTCACCTCCAAGGAGAGGTGGTTTGCTTTGAGCGCCACCTCTGCAACGCACCGCCACATCACCGCACAGTGTTGGGACACTACTAGGCACAGACATTCACGCGTGTGCGTAGGTGAGCCAGGGCCGGTGCTGTCATTCGCATCTCGTCGACCAACCGGCACCTCGACGCAGTAACATGGCAGAACCACAGCCCGAGATCCACAGATGCGAGTCTGCGGCAAACGGGATCAGGCCCATACCAATTGGAGGTCCATGTGCAGATAAAAGCATCGGACTCCATCAGTAGCTGCAAGTTCAGCCTGGCATTGGTTGGTTCTGAGTTCTCATAGCATTGACTGCCTCGACAGGCCAGCCGCACAAGGATTCCATGACCATCTGCCTAGCTCCAAGGAGCTTCTGTACCTCCATCAGAGGTCGCCTGCGGTGGCTGAGTTGCTGTGCTGGCCCTGCTGGTGGGGAATTTGCTGCGGGAACGTGGAGTATTGGCTACGGTCGACGGCTCTGAGGTAGACGGATTCGGGTGAAAAACACTCGTGCAGCGAGCCCGCTGACTTGTTGCTAATGGGGCCAGAACGCCCTCTAACTGCCCCCGGTGCCTCTTCGACAGTCTAGAGACATTCATGTACACCAGGCAGCCACTGCACCTTAGTTCAGACCGCACTGTGCAGTCCACGCATGTCGTCGATCCCGGATGAGGCCGGGACGAGAAGCTACGAGAAGCTTCCTAGCAAACGGGGCAAACGCACGACCGTAAAACTCCGAAGCAGGAGCGGGAGGGAGCCTCCACGACAGCTGGGTCATCCGAACCGAGATACAGCCTTCATCGGAGTTTGTGCCAAAACCGCAAACTTTTGGTGATGGATCGGCCAGAAGAATAGGCAACGAGTCTTCACAGCAACTGAGTCCATGCAGCCCGTCAACCCGGCACGGGCCCAAGGCACATGGGCCTCTGTGCAGCTCGGAGGCGCGGCAGCTGCTTCTTGAAGGGCGCAAGCATTCGCGAAGAATCTGGGCAGCGTCGCTCAACCTGAAACCACCGAACGAAAAAGCTTCGAACCTTGCGCCTGCATCCGCCTCCGCATCTGAACCCAGAATCCAGGAGTAGATGTGCATGTAGTCCTTGAACTCGTACTCTTTTGCCTGCCAGAGGGGGCTGCACGAAGTAAACAATCCGAGCTACACTTGCTCAGCACTGCTCACGGTCAATAAACCCCCAACTATCACCACCCTCCGGGCTACTCTTCCCCAACAGTGCAGCCTCATAATACTTGTCTCCGTGGCGCACGTAACTCCCGAGCACCGCATCCTTTGGAGGGCGCGCTGCAGAACAGAAGGGAGATTCCTCATCCCCTTCGGTCCCTTCCTGCATCTCACCGACAAGGCTTCCCTTCCGGAGGCTTTGCAGCTCGTCCAGCGTAGAAGAACTTGCACCAGGCTTCTACAGCTACAGATCATGTCATGTCTGGCATTCTACTGACCACAGCTCGAAAGCAGCGTTGATGCCCGTGCCTGGGACGCACCAGGAAAGCCGCTGTCTCAACAGGGGCTTCAGCACTAATGTTCATGACCGGATGAGCATACAATATCATAAAGTCGCCTGTGCTCGCCACCACTTGATCCAGTAGTTCTTCGGGTACCTCCAGCTTCAGTGCTTCCGTGAGACATGTGTTGAAGGTTACTGCCGTTGGTGCCTGGAGCATCTCAGCAACTCCTTGAAGACGCGTGGGACCACCTCCGTGCCTCGAGATGCGAGGCCCGCAAGGCCCGCCAGGCAGCACCACTCCGTGCAAGTGCCTCGAAGCTCTTCCTTACCCCGATCCCGCTTCACCCCAATGAACCTCACGGAAAGGTGCAGTCGGCCGGACCAGCTGACACTAGAAAAACAAGAGCGCCTGGGACCCTTCCCCGTCGGCGTGCAAGAGCTTACCGGCTTCAAGTAACATCTTGGCAAATTCAGCTGCATGGCGATGATGCATAACGCCGGCACCCGCTCTGCGGAAACTGAGATGCTTGCTCGTAGGAAGTGGCTTTTATACCTCCAGGGCACTCGACGGTAGAGCCCTTCTGCTTCCCCCTGGTCCATGGATTTGCCCAATCGTCCTCCCAGAAAAAGAAAAACAGGCAATCCCCAAACCAATTCCCAAACGAACTCTCCCGAGCACCTCTCCTGCGGCCAGAGGTAGATGCTTCCCCTGTCCAAAGCAAAAGCCAGCACCGCCTTATCTACGCGTCCACAGCTCGCATGGATGCCAGGAGTCTTCAGTCTGAGAAGTGCGGACAGGGATCAGCGGAGATGTGGATGTTGGAGCCCATGCCTGATCGAAACCTAGGGCAGAAACACGCCCTTCCTCCATACCTTCGCTCCCATGGCATGCATTACAGCACTCGAGTGGATACTCTGAGTCCAAGACATGCCGTGCTCTACAAAGGACTTGTCGGTGCAGTCACGCGGAAACTGATGCTCCCTGCGCAGATCTGAGAGATTTGGCTGCTTCGTACTCACAAAAGACGGTTCAACATGTACACGCACATGGGTTATCATATATCGTTTGAAATATGGCGCGAAGTAAATTACAGCAATATTAGACTTTCGAAGGGTACCGGATTTGAGGAATTAGGGCCAGTGCCTTAGGGCGGGAAGCCTCCAGCCAGCCCCGAGGCCCAAAAAAAAATATTCCAGATTTGGGGCGACTAATGGTTGCTTCTTTAGTTTCTGGACCCCCCCCACCCCAGGCCTCTAAGGGAGGCCACGAAGCACCCCAAACCCTGCAAGCCCAAAGCCCAAAAGCCTAAACCCTAAACCATGTAAGCTCGAAACCCAAAACCCTAAACCCAAAACCCTGAACCCAAAACCCTAAACCCAAAACCCTGAACCCTCAAACCTGCCTCAAGAAGCGCTGTGCCCATCCAGTACCTCGTCACTGAAGGCATTTGCCTAGAAATCTATACAGCTTTCAACTCTGGTCTGATGCGCACCATACAAGGCTTCCCCGACAGAAGCTCGTACTTGCACAGGCCAACCCTGAGTCCGCATGTCATGCCAGCTCGGCTACTGCTTGAAGAGTTTGGTCCGCGAGAAACAACTTGCAACGGGCCCGGTCAAGACTGCGACGAATCTAAGCGCAAGCCGTTAACCTACGGACACTGCATGCATAATTATGCTGGTGTGTGGACACACCCCGGCCCAGCGCGAAAAGCTTCAAACGCTTTGGCAACTCGATACGACGCTGTTTTGACCAGGGCACTGGAAAGCGACGCCAAAGTAGCAGACATAGACTTCAAAGAGAGCTGCTTGTTTGAATCCTGAAGCCCCAACCTGAAGGGTGCATGTTCTCCCACTAATTCTAGCGCGTCGAACACCCACTGCCTTCAGAGTGGAAGGGATAGCAGGCGTGCAAAGTGCACTCGCGGATCATACGCGGGCATGCTCCCGAACCAGACAGGACGATATTGGACGCACTTGCCAGAGCTCACAAGAGAGGTCCAGGGTGCCCACATCCAGCGGCACATCGACATTCTCAAACCTCATCAGCAAGAAATGATCCAGGCTGAGCTCCCCAGCACCAAGTCGCGGTTAGGCAACGAGCTTCGGGCTCTGAACACTTCTTGCCCGTCGTCCCAGGATCTGGCGGCACTGGCAATGAAATCTACTGCGATAAGAATCGAAAGTGTTGCCTCTCTTGGGGGTGGAGCTGTAACTTGCGGGAGCTGGAAGTGGTCCTTCCTCCAGGTCAAAACCCAAAGCTGAGGCCGAGCGGGCTTCTTGCACCCTGCCGCGCCGTGCCTGCGGCCAGGTCGTCTCACCTGGCAAAGGCTGCGATGGCTTCGCCTGCCTTGGGCCTTGGTAGGCCCTCGCAAGACCCCATGGACAAGGCACCTTCGGCAACCTCGGGATCTGCCGAAAGGGTTGTGAGCTCGCTCCAAGTCCTTGGCAAAACGCTTGGAGGAGGCAGATTGCTCCGTTAGAGGGCCAGAGCTGCTGAGCTTCAACTCGTGTTCATTCTGGCAAGGCTGGCAAGGGGTGCCGGTGCTGATGCCGTGCAGATACCCCAGCACATACCTGCATCGCTCCGACAACGATGACACAGACCGGAGCACGTCACCAGACGAGACGCCCCAGGGTCAAGGCTGCCAGGAAGCAGACCCCCTGCACACCTGCACAAGAGCCACCACTTGCAAAAACAAGAGACAAAGTTAACAGAAGGCAAGTCATGGACATGCAGCTTGTGAACCCGTAGCACATATCTCGCGCTGAGTTCTCATGGCTCTGCTGCACTGGCCTTGACGTGCAGCCATCTAGATGCATGTATCGTGGACGACAGTCACAAGGTCAATGTGACTGTCGTCCACGAGACAGTCATGGTTGGGCCAGGTGAATCACTAAGCCACTAGTTTAGCACGCGTTCCAGTACACTGCAAGCGGAAAGGCCAACCCTGTTCGCAACAACATTGTACCAGCATTCGGCAGTGTCGACGAGACGCACACAGCAATGGTTTCGTCTTATTTTTCGTCGTGACGGCTGAAGTCTTCGGATCCAGAGCTGGCAAAGGCTTCAGCCGGGCCAAGAAGTGTTCGATCGGGCCTCTTTGGGCGTGGCAGCCATAGCCGTGTTCTCACGCTTCAGTACAGCTGTGTGCTGCAGGCTAATTCGCAGGAGGCAAATTTACATCACAGGCCGGAGACTCGGAGGGTCTCTCGACCTTCGGGCCTGGAAAGTGACATCCTCGACATCGGACACAGGCTTGCTGTAAGGCACGAACGCCTTGAAAAACGGCATCATCAGTTTTGTCTCTTTCCATTAAGCCATTCCCCCGCTTTTCTCTCACCTTTCTGATTTGTGAAAACACCACTGCCGTGCCTCAGCTTCTTCAGGTGGCGTGGACACCCCTAAGCCCCCCTGAGCCCCCCTAAGACCCTATGCCACTCTCTCTCCTTGTAACAAACCTCCCCAAGTCGCGGCAGCCGAGACACTGTTTGCCTTCCGCCCACTGTCCCTCGTAAGAGCGTCCGTCGGGCCAAGAAAATTTACCTCGGCCCTCCTTCTGATCGTTGACGTAGCCTTAGGGCAAAACTCTGCACACTGCCTGCTCAGGTTTCCGCGCACGGACCACAGCCCGACAGCCGGACAGCGGATGCCTTCTGCAGCCAGGCGGCCACCTTCGTAGATGCGCCCATCGGCCCATCGGAACTTTCCCACACCGTGCATGCGGTTCTTGTCCCACTGGCCCTCATAGACGCGGCCGTCTTCCCAACTGTACTTTCCCTCGCCGTGAATATCCTCAGCTGCAGTCGAACGAGCGTTCGGCCAGGCAGCGTTTCTGGTTACTAGTACTGCCGTCCAGGATCGTTTTCGTAGAACTGACCTGACAGGCAAGTCGAAGAATAGTCTGCTGCGACGGTGACTTGAGCAGGTTGCAGCCTGAATAACTGGATCCGTCAGCCCACGTGAAATCACCTCTCCCAGACCTCAGAAAACAGCATCTGCCAAGACTCATGTGCACAAGCTGCAAGAAGGCAATGAACAACAAGCTCAGCACTTCAGACCGTTCGAATAATCACCGACCTCAGTTTGCTTATGAATGCATCCGGTATTGCGACATCAGAGAGCACTTGACCTGGGCCCCGAACATATCGCGCACCATCAGGCCAGGTTTCTTCGCCGAAGCCATGCTGCTTGTCATCCTGCACTGAGTTTGAGGCAGAGCCGAATTGGAAAGATCGGCTTCAGCCAGCACCCTCATGCCGGTCCCTCCATTCGCCGCTAAACTTGGAGCCGCTAGCATGGGTGTATGTTCCTTCGACACACATGTAAGGCTCTGACATGAAGTTGAACACCTTCTATAATCAATCACTTCATTGTAGTCCAGGAGCCTTGCCCGTGGGCTTTGTCGTTACTCCAATTTCCTTCGTAGATGTCGCCATCTGTGTGCTCGAATCGGCCCCAACCATGGGCCTTGTCATTGGCCCACTTCCCTGCATCCAGGCTTTTGGAGGGGTTACATGCCTTCACCAGTTGTCATCCTATACAGAACTGTGAACAGCTGCCTTCGTAGCGAGCACCATCAGGCCACACCTGCAAAACGCAGGAATGAGATCTTCACGTCATGACGTGAAAGCCACAAGCTCTGGCCTGGACACCGTTGCCATGTCTGTGGGCACCCAGCCATTCACCAGTGTAGGTGGATCCGTTTGGATACCTCAGCAAGCGGGTGACGGAATGACACGGTGCTGTCCGCATCTCTGAACTCCTGCACCAGCCCTCGATTCCCTCGATCAAGAAGCTTACACGGCTGACCTTCCAACACCAACTGCAGCACCGCTGCGTGTGGCACGGTCGAGCTTCGATTTGGTTCCCCTCCTCACCAAAACCCAAGCTCAAACTCCACGATTTACTACTCGAAGTGTCCTTCACGCCAGGATCTGGAATTTGTGCATGGACAACTTCCGCCTGTTGCGGCTGACCGCAGCTAGCTCAGCCCGCAACACATCAACAGCAGTGCTTTGCCGTGCCTGGTTGTCTCCATGTGCTTGGCCTTCCCACGCAGAGCAGTCACAATCAGAGCACCCATAAGAGCTAAATGCGACCGCGCAGCAGCAAGCGAACATACACTGCCTCAACAAGATTTGACTTGAATGCTGACTTGGAAACATCGCAAGCTCGGCTTCGAGCAGTTGACGGCGGTGCACCCGGTCCCTAGGGAAAACTGAGATGATGAGCCAGGCTGGACCAACGGAAACAACCTGATATTGCTCAACTGCTAAACCAATGATTGACTTTCTAGGCAGGGAAGACCTCATCACATGCGTGATTTTTTTTGCGAAACACAACTGACGACAAATGAACACGAGAACTGCGAGATCATCATGCCCTACATGAAAATGCGGGATGTCTGCAAGCACCACCATCACGCACATGGCGCAATACATGTATGCGAGCTTGTATGTTATTTTTGCGAATCTGGCTGGCTTAGTTTATGCACTATTTTCACATCGCAGGTGCCGCGCACCTTTGGCATACCGGACCGATTGCTTCTCTGGATGTGACGTTCCACGACTATTTCCAACTTACCAAATCGCAAGTTGCAGAATTGTCTTCTCCAAGACAATGCTGCGAAAATTTGCTGAGTCTGTTTATCCATTGGAGAACTAATAGATTTGGGCTTTGCGGCAAAGCTAAGCTGGTACGAAATTCCAATTTCCGGGGACCTGCTTCCTAGCCCTGAGACCCTGGGCCTTAGCCGCATCCGGCTCCACAGAACGCTACAACGCCCGAAACCCCTGAGGCTTAATAGCCCGAGCCCCTTTAAACCCTAAGCCTTAGACCTCTGATAATCCTACGCCGCTTTAAACACCTTAAACCCCAAAACCGTACACCCTCTAGGCCCTGGACCCCACCAGCGCATGTGCAAAACAAATTGAGCCCTCTAAACCCCTAAAACCACATCCCAAAACCCGAAAAGCCAATATCAACAACCGTACCTTCTAAACCCTAAGCCCTGCAAACCCGGAAACCCAAATTCATCCTTGAAGCTTTAAACCCTAAAACCAAAAGCCCCCACGAACTGCTTCTGTATCAAAAACCAAAAAAGACACAGTGCAAAAAATAAAAGACCAATCATGGTTCTCACAAACCATGGACCCCTTCGCAGGAAACATTGGTTTCCGGTGCACAATGCGTTTTTCGAGAGCAAACATGTTTTGGAAAGCCTGTCTGACCCTAAACCCCCTCATGCCCCACATCCTAAAGCCTTCCTCAACCTCTGTCGGAACTTGAAACGTGAACGTTCTCTACGTATTGCAGAACGCTCCTTTTCCGCAGACGGTGCATAGAAGTGCGTTGCGTTTGAAGGCAGAGACTTGTGTCTGGGCAAGGCGATGCCGGAAAGCTATTCCCCCAGGGAGTGGAGGGTGGGTGAGAAAAAGAAGGCAATGCTTTGCCCTGTGTGAAAGCTGTGACTTCTAGGTTAGAGCCAAGATATAGCAAAGGCGCGAATCAGTCACTACCTAGAAAACACAGCTGACACAAAAGACAAACTCACAGCTAGCGTTCTCTACGTATTGCAGAACGCTCTTTTTCCGCAGACGGTGCATAGAAGTGCGTTGCGTTTGAAGGCAGAGACTTGTGTCTGGGCAAGGCGATGCCGGAAAGCTATTCCCCCTCTTCAGTACGCCCTTCATGCACCTCTGCTCAGTGCCAAACCCCCACCGCGCGAGGTGCAGGGTAAGGAGTACCTGGCGGTCAAGCACTCAAAGAGAACACAGTAAAGGAGGCAGAGCACGCAGTGCGACCTTTTTTGTACCGGCGCGGCAGCACATGGTAAGGGTAGTAGAACCCCTAGAAACAAGAAGCATGCTGAGCGGAGCATGGCTGTTTTGGGCCTTGCGAGAGGCCCGGTGCCAAAGCAGCTAGAGCACGTAGTGCATGTATTGCTCAGCGG